GAGAGGAGGAGGATGGGGGAGAGGAGGAGGAGGAGGAGGAGGAGGAGGAGGAGGAGGAGGAGGAGGAGAAGCAGGGGATGAGGACATGCTAGGGAGAAGGAGGATGCAACGGTCTCATAATATGCGATTTCGAAACTGTGGAAATTCTGCTAACGCATCTTGATCGACCCCAGAGCAGGATCAGCTGTGAATCTTGTGATGGGCCTGATGGCTCCCTTTTTTTTTTGTAGTGTGCAAGAGAAGGGTGCGCTGTGGTGTTTTGTGGTTTGAAATCAGCTCAGCAGCTTGCGGTTCTGTGCTTCCCATTTGGCTGATGCTCTCTGGGTTTGTTGTTGACGTCAATCTTTTCGGTTACAGCCTTACAGGTTTCCAGATTAGGAAAAAGAGTCAGCTGCCGAGTGGTGCGCACGCTCTCGATGCCTATCTCAATCGAATGCAGGGAACAATTTTAGATCCCGATTGGGAGGGAGGTGAGTTCCAAGAAGGAATGTGCAGGTCGTCAGGATCTGACAAGTTTTTGCAGGAGTCATGGCGGATGTTCAGAAGCATGTCAGTACAAACACTGCACAGCTGGAATCCTTCCTAAAGGAYYTACAGGAGATGGAACAAGTGATGAGGCGTAAGCATTCTAAAGATGGACAACAGGGGAGAACAACACAGGAGCCASCCCAGATGAGTGCGGAGGCGATTCAGGAGGAAAAGAGGGAGGGGTCGTCATCGCCGCCRCCGCGGAGTGCCGCTGCTGTGGCACAAAAAGCTAACGTTAAGTCCAATGGCGCAAAGCACATGTTGGACCCAGCCCAGATGCGCCCGAAGGTGATTCAGCAGGAGAAGAGGGAGGGGTTGTCACCACAACCACCGCAGAGTGCCGTTCCTACGGCACAAGCTAACGTTAAGTCCCATGCCGCAAAGCACACGTACGATCATTACCACAACAAGTGGGCAAGATTTGATGAGGATGCAGCCCTTGCTGCAATCGACGATGAGGACAAGGAGGGCAAAGCTGTGTCCACTGAAAAGATTTCTCCATCGGGGGAAAGAGAAGGAGTTGGTGCAATGATGGCGGGTGGAGTTGTCTCCGAACAGAGTAGGGATGCGAAGGGGAGTGGCCATCGTCTGGGATGCAGCAAGCGCGGACCTGGTCTGATGGATTCTGTTCCTGGAATGGCAGATTCTGTTCCTCGGACAGCTGGTGGGTTGTTGCCGTTCAATGCAAAAAGAGAAAAGAGTGAATCTGTCTCAGGCGACATGGTTGCCCGCAAGGGACACGCTCCTCCGTCTGCTTCGTCTCCGACTATTGGAGCGTGGAGAGGCAGCAGTGCAGCGGCAAGACCAGAGATGGTTGGCCACCTGTCGACCACCGACTCGGCGAGGTTGCCGTCGACGTTGCCGTTGTCCCATCTGAAAGGGACAAGAACGGGAGCCATTGAGAGCGGTCCAGCCGCCATGCTTAGCAGGCTTTCTGACACCGCTGACTTTGACGACGCATTACCAGATGCGGCATCCGAAAAGGGTAAAGGAAATGAATTCTTTCGGCAAGGCCGGTACTCTGATGCGATTGATTGCTATTCCCGGAGCATTGCATTGAGGCCCACTTGCATCGCTTACGCCAACAGGGCGATGGCGCTTCTGAAACTGAAGAAGTACAGAGAAGCAGAGGAAGACTGCACGGAGGCAATCGATCTTGATGACATGTACGTGAAAGCGTACTCGCGCCGAGGATCTGCAAGAAAGGAGTTGAAGAAGTACATAGAAGCTTCCCAAGACTTTGAGGTTGCGCTCCGTCTTGAACCGGAGAACAAGGAGCTGAAGCAGCAAATGGAGTCTGTTCTGCCCTTTTGTGAAAGAGAGAGAGGGGTAGGGAAAAAGACTAGTCCGGTCTCTGTCCAGGAAGGCTCTACTCGTCTGAGTCCTGCCTCTGTCGCCACCTCTGCTCCTGCTTCTCGGAGCGTGCCCGCCTTCTCGTCGCTACAACCTTCGTCCATCGGCAATGCCACAAGAGGAAGGGCAGGCTCTCACACAGCAGTTGGATCGGAAGCTGTGTCAAGAGTCAGAATAACTGAGCTCTCTTCCGAAGAGCGAGGGGTAAGCTGGAGCATGAGGAAAGTGGGGGGAGGAGCTGGTGAGCGGGAGGCGAAGGCTGTGTCTGGCGTGCTTGCTGATGAAGATTCTGTGAAGACGAAAGGAAGTGAACAGAAAGCGAGGGGAGGAGGTGGTGAGTGCGAGGCGAAGTCCATGTCCGGCGTGCTCGCTGACAAGGATTCTGTGAAGGCAAAGGGAGGTGTCACTGAACGAAGAGCAGGGGGAGGAGGCAGTCAGCAGGAGACGGAGTCTGTATCTCGGACTCTTGCTGAAGAAGATTCTGTGAAGAGAAAGGGAAGCGAGGGAGAAGTGAGGGAAGGAGGTGGTGAGCAGGATACCCAGTCTGTGTTGGGCTCTCTCGCACATGGAGATTCTGTGAAGAAGAAGGGCACTCAACAAACGTTGGAAAAGGCCAGAAAGACGGCAGCGGCAGCGGTAGCCGCGCAGAGGCAGCAGGCTGTCATGGGTGCACAGGCAATGGCAGCTCGTGCCGCGGCAGCGGCAAGAGTGACGGTGGCCAAGAAGGTGATTGCCCCCAAGACAGCCTACGAGTTTGAGAACGTCTGGAAGACTCTGGCAGAAGATCGGCAAGCGCAGGCTCGAGTCCTTCGGATGGTGGACCCGTCGACATTGCCAAAGACCTTCAAGGATGCATTGAGCGCCAACCTGCTTTGCGACATTTTTGCAGTTGTTGATGAATGTTTCCTTCCCGGTGATGCTGCCAGGGGCATTGACATCCTTGAAAATCTCCCAAGCGTCGGTCGGTTCGACATCACAATGGTGTTCTTGACGAGCCAGCAAAAGGCCAAACTCAGACACGTGTGGGAGGAATCGGCGAAATCTGCAGCCATCTCAACTGAGCTGCAGGAGCGTCTTCGGTCCATTCGTGCCAAGTACCATGTGTGAGTCCAGATGATCGCATTCGGAGAGGTGGCTGTAAATTGATCGACGGACGTGGCTGTGATACATGATGTCTTCTGCATAACCAGAGACAGAGAATGCTGTGAATCACATGCACCATGTCCAAGGACCCTTCTCGCACGCTAAGCGATAGCAACGAGATAGCCACGAGATAGCAACAAGATAGCAACGAGATAGCAATGAGATAGCAACGAGATAGCAATGAGATAGCAACGAGATAGCAACGAGATAGCAACGAGATAGCAACGAGATAGCAAGGACCCTTCTCACACATTATGCGATAGCAGCGAGATAGCAACAAGATAGTGACGAGATAGCAACGAAGTAGCAAGGTTTCTCTGACTTCTTGCACACTATGTGATAGCAATGAGATAGCAAGGACCCTTCTCGCAAGCTGCACGGTAGCAATGAGATAGCAACGACCCTTCTCGCACGCTAAGCGATAGCGACGAGATCCCTTCTCACACGCTAAGCGACAGCAATGAGATAGCAAGAAGATACCAACGAGATAGCTGCAACGAGATAGCAAGGACCCTTCTCACACGCTAAGCGATAGCAAAGAGATAGCAAAGAGATAGCAGCGAGATAGCAGCGAGATAGCAACAAGATAGCAACGAGATGGCAACGAGTCGTCACCTGTAGAGGCAAGCCCCTTGAAAGTTGAGCACAATGGGCCTCGCTCCACTACTCACACAAATCTGCAAATTGAGAATGAATCTCTCGCTGGAACACTGAAAGAGCCAGCGCCATTTTTTGTGTCTTTTGTGCATGTGGTGAGTAGTGGAGCGAGGCCCAATTTCTGCAGATGCTGCTCAGCAAACAGCTTTCATCCTTTTTTATTTTTATTTTTTTACACAACATTCATCTTGCCTTCATCACAGCGAAGAAGAGAAGAGTTAAAAAAAAAAAAAAAAAAAGAAGAGAAGAGTGTATGGTACTCTGACCAGGATGGACCTCATGTAATTAAAAAAAAAAAAAAAAAAAAAAAAAAGGATGGACCTCATGTTGCCGCGGGCTCGTGCCCTTATGGGGACAAGGGAGCATTTTCCAGAATTGCCCAGAGTTGTGTGCAGACATAAGGGAAGGTTCCATGGTCACTTTTCTGAGGGCATATATATTCACTTACATTGGACTTTTTCGAATGAACTCTGATACTAATTGCGGTTATGTACATCAAGGTGCAGGTGTAATTACGGTCAGGTACGTCCAGGAAAGGCCCAGTGTGAGTCTGCCCTGAGTGTGCAAGGAATCGTCGGTGAATGTTGAAGAAGGCCCAGAAGCAATGGGAGGGCATGCTCACATGACTACCTTCGTCCCCCGAAGCAATTGAAGGGCATACTCACACGACTACCTTCTTCCCCCGAAGCAACGGGAGGGCATACTCACACGACTACCTTCTTCCCCTGAGTACAATGTACGGTCGTTATAGCTGTATTTGGGGTGTCTTCCAGTGTAAATAGCAAAAACAGCTATAATGACCGTACGTTCTATCAAGGGAGGCGTGATAAAAAAA